AGGCCTTCCGCATAGCCCTTAAAAGCTGGCTGTTCCGACAGGCCTGGGGCTAAGACTTGCAACCCCACTCGAATGGTATGACTGTTGTGCTTTTTTTAATGGTGTATGGTTTTTCATGTTTGTAACTTGTCTGTTCTTCCCCTCCCTTGAATTGTGAGCCGCCCTGAGTCCCCTCAGGGAAAAGGGCGGCATACAAATAAAGTAAAATCTAAAATCTAAAATCTAAATCTAAAATGAATATACGGGAGTCATTATGCAAATGATGCCATAACTCATTCTTCTCATTTTGACATCATCATGGCTTATTCTGGATGTAGTTGCACTCAGTAGCTTCATCAATACAGTTTATATCACCCTAAGTTCTAGGGATGAGAATAGACTTACAATATAGCAACTAAGATAACAAAGTATTTATAGACTTTAAAGCAGGGGGTCCCCAACCCCTGGGCTGGGGGACCGGTACTGGTCCGTGGCCCATAGGAAACTGGGCTACACAAGCAGCATGGCAAGTGTGCAAAGCTTTATTTGCACAAGTGCAGGATTATGTTACCCACGGAAAACCGTCCCCTGCCCTTCCCCTTTCCCCGCTCTTACTCCCACCGCCAGTCTGCAGAGCCAAAAAGATTGTGGACTGCTGCTTTAAATCACTGAATAACTTTAATTTTGAGTTTTTTCTCTAAAAATTTTCCACTTTCTACTTACTCGAGATCCTCTTTCTCCTTTTGGTCCTTGCTCACCCTGTTCACCTGGCTCACCCTTTGGGAAAAGAAAACGGTAACATAGATCATGTTTGCGTCATATCAAACCTGAGGATAAATGGAGATTTTCTCACTCACTTTGAAAAAAAAATGCAGAATTACAATGTACTTTATTAAAGACTTACTGGTGGCCCTTGTTGTCCAATAGCACCTCTAAGTCCTGGGAGTCCTGGGTGACCCTAGAGGCAAGAGAACCCATTCTTGATTAAGGAAATTTCCTTTTTTTCTTTCAAGAGTGTAAATTCTAAAAAGCTTTAATTAGCTTGCTTTAACTGATGGCACAAGAATAGCAATAGCAGTAGACTTATATACCGCTTCATAGGCCTTTCAGGCCTCTCTAAGCGGTTTACAGAGAGTCAGCATATTGCCCCCAACA